CCCAATTTTCTGGAGGCCACAGATGACTTTTAGGTAAATGAGGTCATGTAACACCCCACAGGTCAACATTCTCTGCCCACAGTGTTATTCCTTGACTGCTACCACATCTAGATTCTGACTTCTTACCTATTCTGAGCAGCATAGATACTGGCCAGCTTCAGGGAAATTTCAATTATTGCGTTGTCTTCCTGTTGGGAGAAAAAAAAATTCATGACAAGTAAAATTTCTTCATGGAATACTTCATATCAACTTCTAGACTGACTTTGGCTTCAAAGCCACAGTTTATTCTTTTAGAAGAAATAGCCAAATGTGAATTCCTCAGCAACCATGCTTTTGAAATAATGAAAGATGAGCCATTTTCATAGAGGTCTACAAGCAAAAAAAAAAATCTACCTCTTTTGGTCAAAGCAATGTGTTGGGGGGATGGGGAAGTTTTCAGAAAATGTGACTATTCTGGAAATTGCTTCACTGAAGGACCAGTAGTACAATGTCCTTACCTGCTTCATACCCCCTCCAAGCAGGTAACTCATTGTTGCCTTAAAAAGTTGTTCTGCCTAAAAGCATAAAGAAAAGATTTTTCTTTTATTTGGACCCCATTATGTGTATGATCCTGAATTTTAAGTACCAGTCTGATGTATCATTCCTTGTAAATACATGCACTAATAAATACAGAAACTAGTACTCCCATGCAAGGAGAATGGACCAAAATATCAGGATCCCACATCCTGCGTACTTTAAGCTACTCTGATGAGAAGAAACTGATTCACAGACTAACTTCTCATCCAAATCATTGTGGAAGAGACTGCTAATTTTCCCAATATTCCATTCTCTTATCATTTGTTATAAAATCCTCTCAATTAGCAGATCAGCTTCCTTTTAACTAGTTATGATCGTATAAAGTTCTGGCCAAGAACTGCAGGTAGAGGAATATGAACAACTTTTAAACCATGTTTCAAAAGGACTCTGCTTGCTCTTCATCCTCTCTCTTCCCATACGGCTGGAAGTGAACCACCTCACCCATGCACAGGAGGACCTATCTTAGGAAAAAAACTAGCTTCTGGACCAGACAGTAGAAATGCCGAACCTGCCCTTCAGTCTTAGCCTACCCTAAAGTATTAAAAAAGAAATACACTATTAAAAAAAAAAACAAAAACACTATATTGTGAGGGTCTCTTTGTGATAGGAGCTGAGCCTATACCCTTACTGTGCTACAGTTCCTTTGAGGTTAGTATTTCACAAATTCAAGATATTACAAGATGATTTACTTACATTTTCAAGCTGACCTCGTATAAATGCTAAGTTGGCCATCTGAAAGTAAATTATAAATTGTCCAGTTTAAAACATTGTGTTTTTTACTTATTCAAAAACCTTTAAGCTAAGAACTTCCTTCTGCTTTCACCCCTAAATTGATAGTTCAAAGTGGAGAAAGTACATCACCCATTAATCTGCTAGCAGCTCAGTTCAGCAATGGTGGGAGAG